ACCTTCAGAGGCAAACCACACAAGCTGGCAAGTGCATATTTTTGGTTTTTTACCTTATCTTTAATGATGTTCCACAAAAAAACGCAAGTTGAAATATATTTTTCTCCAAATATATATATTTATATAATATATAATCTTAGTTAACTCAAGTATATACATCGTATAATAAATAATGCTTATAAAAAGAGACATTTTCTGAATATAAAATAAAAAAAAATTGACCTCTACAACTTTATACAAAACTTTGGATACAGCAGATTGATGGAAAAAGATCTTCCATTCAGTGCTAGAATACCTGGCTACAGTAAAATAATTACAAGGCAATAAATGTTCTATTTAATATTAAATACCTTTTCTTGATTTAAAAAAAACCAACCAAACAAAAAAGGGATTTTATTTGAAGTCAGGTACTTCGAGTCTTTCCAGACACAGAATTTAATATATACTTTTAAATATAATGCATATCAGAAGACATCTTATTTCTGAATCAGAGAGGTTTCTTAGAGCCCTCCTGTGATGTTTAATTTTAGAAAGCTAATGCTTCTCAGGCTGCGTGAATCCAGGGGCTCTTGGTGGTGCAGAGGAAGGACTGAGAATTTTGCTCTGATTCTCTCCAGGCACAGGTTTGAGTAGATGGCATGTTCTGTGCTCCATATGACTGGTCTTTCCCCCATTTTATTGCTCTTTGTGGTACTTTGTGCTGCTCTTTCCATGGACAGAGAATTGGGGGGAGTAGAAGACAGCTTGAATGGTTTAGACATATGTATTAAATCGCTGATGCATGAGAAGTGATATTGGAACGTGGGTATTGGTCCTCATCCATGGAGGAGCCCACCAGGACAGAGATAATATTATTTTTTTTAATTTCAAGGGTCAATATGCCATGAAAACATAGGCCCAAAGTGATGGGGCCTGTCGTTAAGGGATGTGGCCTTGGGAGCAGGTGGAGGGACAGACCCTGGTTCTGCACGGAGACTGTTCATGGGCTGCGCGTGGCCATGCCTGGGGACCAAATCCCTGTTGACAGTGCGGAGCTTCTGTGCTTGCTGTGGGCTCCTCGTGAATGAATTGCTGATTACTCAAGAAATGCTATGGGAAGGAAAGGGTCTGCCTGGGGTTGTGCTGTTGGATGAAGGTCTCCCCTGACTGCCCTTGCTTCTCTTTTGCTGGATGAAGTGGTTTCAACAAGTCTGTCTGATGGGGGAAGGCTGACAAGGAGGCTTGGACAGAAGTGTCTTGCCATGGCTTCTGTCTCCCCATGCATTACTGATGCTGATAGCTGGTATAGCAGCTCACCTGGTGGGTACCCTGTCCCCAGAGAGATGCTCTGAGCTTGCTCTGGGATATAAAGTCATACTAGGGAACACTTAATAAATAGGTGGATCAAGTGGGTGGATCTGCCTTGTTCCTTAAGAATCTCTTGGGCAGCTGCACGACAAGGAGGCTGCTGGAGCAGTGATGATCCCCATGTAAGAAGTGGCACCTCACCACATGTGCTCTGTTCTTATCCTGGGCCAGATGCCAAAGGATCAGCTCTGGGCTCTGGCATCCTGCTGCCCACCTCAGGGCGTTACACAGGATGATCTGTGGCTGTGGGGAGCGGGAGGGCAAAAGGGAGATGAAAGGAGAGACTTCTCAGAGCAGGAAGGAAGGAGCCTGGCTGGTGTGGGGGCTTGGCTCCTTTCCTCCTCCTCGCCATATCTGCTGAGACCAGGATGGCCATGCCAGCAAGCCGGGGAACCTGCACTTGCTCAGCTTTTGTTGTGCAAAGTTCATTTCCAACTGAACCCATATTGGCATCTGCATGGGCCAGACCTCCAGAGGAGGACAGAGCTGGAAGCTCTGTGCATGCTGTGTTAAGCAGCACACAGGCTGGTGTGGCCATGCCTTGCTTGGACCTGTGCTGTCCTAGCTTCACCCCAGACAGTCTGTCATGCCAAACAGCCCGAGAAAACCCAGCAGATCGGTGATGTAACGTGTCTGCGGCACCAGGTCTAGCCTTGGACTGCCTTGGGTGGGTGAGATGCCGAGAATCTTTTCTGCAGTGTTGGTGCTGGCATTGTGAGGGGGTCTGTCCTGACCAAGGGTATTAGGATTTTTTTATGCCATCCTCTGACGTGTGAGGCTACCACGTGGCAGCTGATCACAGGCCGATGGACCCCTTGGCTCTGCTCTGGAGCAACCTCCCATCAGTTGGAGACCTACTTATGTTTACTTGCAGGTGTGGACATCGTAGATGCGTATGCACTCCTGGCAGCTCACGTAGCAGCACCAGTGGAAGATGCAGTGACACTTCTCCTTCCTTTTCTCAGTCCTGGTGTTGTGTCCACGACCGCAGCACAGCAGGTCACAGCCATCGATCCCATGGGAGGTGACGTTGCATGTTCTGTCCCTTGTCCCAAAGGAGCCCGTCTCTGGGTTGGGCTCACAAAAGTTGGGAGAGTTCTCGTAGTAGACCAGATCCCGCTCTGTTGGTGGCTTAAAAAGAGCATACTTTGCCCTAAGAGTTTCTACCCATCCCCGTGATTCCCGGTGCTTTTCAACTACCATCTCGGAGGCACTGTCATATTTATCCTTCAGGTAGTCACCGATTGCCCGGAAATCAGGCTGTGCCCACCAGCAGGTCTTGACTTCGCAGCTTCCTGAGAGACCATGGCACTTGCACTTCAGGTGCATGTGATCCAGGATGGTCTGTCCAAGGGGAGAGAAAACAAGGTGTTCAGCAGCAGTTTGCAATGCCCAGTGTTTGATTTCAATCACCCACATTTGCTGCCTGGGCTTAAATGCCTGGTCTGAGCATGGTCTGGAAAGCATAGGCTAGTTGTAAATGCAGGGGAGCTCGGGTGGGAGGCAGAAAATGCCTCTAGGCAGAGATGTCACACTAGAAAAGCATGACTGAGATGGGCAGCTGCTCTAATCCTCTGTCTAATCCAATCTAATCTAATCTAGTCTAATCCCAAAGTCTGATCCTTTCCTCCCTGGTGTATGTGTTTGTGGACAATTGGAACCCAGAGAAGGTGAGGGTTGGAGGATGTCTCTGATGCATATGGGTGTAGACTGACCCCTTTGTCCTAGCTTTGCTAACAACCCTTCATTTTATGCCCTAAGTGTGACAGTTTCCACTGGAAGAAAATGAAATTGTGAATCTAAGGATGTGACACGCTTCCTCAGAAACCTCCACTGTGGGAAGCAAAATAATCACTGATTTTGGTTAAAATTATTAGAGGTTCGGGTTTGGTTTTTTTTCCCAGGAAACTGTCAGTCATAAACACAATTTAGAGATTCAAGCTCTGCCCTTCCACCTCTGCCTGCTGCGGGATGGAAAACGAGATCTAGCGTTTGCTTCAAGCACTGTTTGAAGGGTTTCACTGTAACACGGTTCAATGCGCTGGGTTTGCAGATGACCTGGAGCAGGCAGCGGCCCAGGTACCTGCTGACAGCAGGAACTGTCGAGCAAGTCAGAATTCAGTTGGAAGGGGCCTACAGCCATCAGCTAGTCCAGTGGTGTCCCACTGGTTGGGACAATGTTGCAACGGGGGCACACAGGGTGGAGTAACGTGGGAGGAAAGTCCCTGTCTCTGTTGTCTTGAGCAGTTGAGTTGGGTTTCTGCATGTTGCCATGGGAGATGTTTGCGCTGGAAGCAAGGCATGTTTTAGTGCTTCTTAACCCTCACCTGTCCGTCTGGAGAGAGTGGAAATGTTCCTTGGGAAAGCATTCTAGAAAGCTCCTTCCTGGGAATTACTGTGGTCCCATTACATCAGAGGGAGCCAAACTGAGCCATCCATGCAGCCACGGAAAACCACCTCTGGACCCGCTGAGCACTCACCGTCCTGCCGGCCTCATTGTTGTGTCTGTTCATAGCTGAGCGGGCGTCTGGCCGGTTCTCTCGGGCATCTGCGAATTCCCGGGATACCAGCACACCAAAGTCAGCATCCTCGCTGCATCCCCCCCACTTCCAGCCATCTCCTGGAGGTCCTTTATGGTGGGAGTCACAGCCACAGATCGTGGACGTGCCCTCGGCACAGGAGCGGGTTACAGCAAAGGCCACCCCTGCCGACGCGATGGCATGGACGAAGGCAGACTCTCGTGTGGCTGGGAACAGAGTGCATGTCATTAGCAGTAAAGGTAATGCTTTTGTTTTCCTTCCCAACCTCCTCTGTCATCTGTATCTCACTGAAAAGCCAAAAGTTACACATTTTTCAGTGAACTTTTTCTGTTTCAGTGAACTTTTTATGAACCAGGTGCTGCTGGCGTCCCCTTTTGAAGCACGGAGGCTGGAGTAGGGGGTAGGAGGGAAGTGTGACTCCAGCTCTGTGCATCACAAGTGCAGCATCTCCCTCAAACACAATGGGTGCGGGATTTGATCCAGCACGGGTGCCAGTGGATGCACAAAACATCAGTGAGAGCTTGAGGGGCCTCAGAAGAGAGTTATTGGAGTAATTCCTGGTCTAGAAACCCAGAGGGACACCATGCCTGGAGTTAGTCCAAGGGGAGATGAAGCAGCTCACATGCACACCAAAGTGGGGAAAGGTTTCAGGTGATACAGGACCGGCAAGGGCAGAATGAAGCAAAGAGCTAGTAATGACTCTGAAATGTATCTAGACTAAACGACGTGTGACTTTACAGGAGTGGGATAAAACCAGCCAAGGGGGTGAAGATAACCTTGACATTGCTCATTAATTACTAAACAATCCTGGAGGAAATCAAAGCAGACGGAACTCTTCTTTGACTCTAACTACTGGCATGTCACGACTATACAGTCGCAGTGAGTGAATTTCAGCAGCTCAAAGGAGCAAAGATGGAGAAAGTCCTGGAAGCACTGAATGCTGAAGAAAGGGTGAAATGAATAGCCCAGGATGCCTAGGCAGAAGGGGAGCTGGGAACAGGAGCATGTGGGGATCCTCTGGGCTGAGAGGAGAAAATGTTTCAGCAGAACAAAGATACCTGGGGGACAAAACTGAAAATCCAC